ATTCAGTTCTTCAAATGAGTGATTTCTTAGGCAAATGCCACACACACACACACACACACACACACACACACACGCACACACACCAACAACACCACCAACAAACAATTAAAAACCAAGAATGGAAGAAGTTAAGGGTTGAGCAAAGTTACAGAATTTAAAATGGTTAAGAAGGGAACATAGCAATAAAAGGAGTCCCAACCATATTCTGCTAGCTCATAGACCAATGCTCTGCTACTCAGACATCACCAGAGAAGACTCTTCCTACAGTACATGGGAACAAATACAGAGACTCACAGACAGACAATATGTATAAAGTGAGAGACCTTGGACCACTCACACCTAAATGGTATGTCTCCATCAAATATTTCCCTCAGAACTCAGGGAAACCCACCAAAGAGGAGGTGGAATGATTTTAAGAACCAGAGGGCATGGAGGACATCAAGGAAACAAGGCCTTCTAGACACCTAAATACAGCAGGACCATCGTACATATGAAATCACAGAGATGGGGACAGCACGCATAAGGCATACACATATCTGTGCCAGATGGGGTCCCAGTGCTGGGAGAAGTGACAGTTGTGATCCTGAATCCAGAAACTATCTCCAATTGATGACCACTTGCAAAGGGAAAATGTTTTCTCCAAGAGACTTTCACTGGGGATACAAACCACTCTTATGAGTATGGCCCCATGCCCAACAATAGATGGCCAACACAAAAGGAACTCAATGACATCTGTGGAGGGTTTTTTTTTGTTTCATAATGTTTTCTTTTTAACCTTGTAGGTCCTTTGCGTATGTACTATGGCTTCTGGTTTTGTGCTTTAATGGAATTCTTGTGTATATAAACATTTGTGTGTCTGGATCTATATGTGATTCTTGTGCTGTTATTTTTGTTCTGCGTTTGTTTTCTTTTGTCCTATTCTGGTTTTTTTTCCACTGAAAATTACAAACTTCAACTAGATTGAATCAGAATCTATATCATTTACTTTGTGGGTAATTACAGATGCATTCATTGTTTTAATAATTTCTTGTTTTAATTTTTAAAATAATGTTTATTTTATATACCAATCCCAGTTCCCTCTCCCTCCCATCCTCCCACTCCCCCCCACCATCTTCCCATCCGACCCCCATCTACTCCGCAGAGAAGATGAGGCCTCCAATGGGGGATCATCAAAATCAACCACATCATTTGGGGCAGGATCCAAACCCTCACCCTGTATCTAGGCTGAGCAAGGTACAGCCACTTTGAATATCAGTATGGCAGTTTCTCAGAAAATTGGGAATCAATCTACCTCAAGACCCAGCAATACCACTCTTGGGCATATACCCAAAGGATACACACTCAACCCACAAGGATATTTGTTCAACTATGTTCATAGTAGCATTATTTGTAATAGCCAGAACCTGGAAGGAATCTAGATCCCGCTCAACATTGACAATGTGGTACATTTACACAATAGAGTACTACTCATCAGGAAAAAGACAATGACATCTTGAAATTCTCAGGCAAATGGATAGAACTAGAAGAAACCATCCTAAGTGAGGTAAGTCAGACACAGAAAGACAAACGTGGTATGTACTCACTAATAAGCAGATATTAGTCAGAAAGCAAAGAATAACCAGCTTACAATCTCAACCCCTGAGAAGCTAGGAAACAGAGAGGACCCTAAGTGGGACTACATGGACACCCCCCCAATCAGAGAAGGAAAATGGACAAGATCTCCTGAATAAATTTGGAGCATGGGGAGGGGGAAGGGCAGTAGGAAAGAGAGGAGGGGAGAAGGGGAGTGGGGGAAGAGAACATGAGAAATCAGGAAGGTAGAGTTGGAGGAAGAACAGAGAGGGAGAGCAAGGAAAGAGACTTGGCAAAGGGAATCATTACATAGTTAACAAGAAACCTGGCACCAGGGAAATGTCCTTCAAGGATGACCCCTAAGCAATAGCGGAGAGGCTACCTTAAATGCCCTTCCCCTATAATGAGATTGATTACTACCTTAAATGCTATCATAGAGCCTTCCTTCATCAGGTAGCTGATGGAAACAGAAGCAGAGACCTATAGCTAAGCACTGAGCCGAACTCCTGAAGTCCAGTTGTAGAGAGGGAGGAGTGATGAGCAAATGGGTCTGGACTATGCTATGCGAACCCACAGAAACAGCTGACCTGAACAAGGGGGAGCTCATAGATTCCAGACTGATAGCTGAGAGCCAGCACAGGATCAACCCAGACCCCCTGAATGTGGGTGTCAGTAGGGGGGCCTGGGTAGTCTATGGGGCCTCTGGCAGTGGATCAGTATTTATCCATAGTGCATGAACTGGCTTTTTGGAGCCCATTCCTAATGGAGGAATTGCTTAGTCTGGTTTGTTTTTATTTTATTTATTATTACTCCTAGATGCCTATTCTAATAAAAGTGGGAAGATCTAGGAGCAATTGGAGGAGGAGAAAATATAATCAAAATATATTGTGTAAAAATGTTATTTTCCATAAAATAAACAGTAAAAGAATAAGGAAGAGGAGGAGAAGGAGGAGGAGGGGAGGAGGAGGAGGAGGACTGAGGAAAAGGAAACAGTTGGTAGAAGTGGAAAGTAGCTATGCTAGTAGATGAGACACAGCCATAAGGTCAACTGACAGCCCTAGTAAAATAGGCAAACTTCCAGGTCAGGAAATGAATTCACAGTGAGAGCAAAGCAGCTAAGAGAGTGATTTCAGAAATGAAGTGACTGCTGGCAATAACAGGATCCGTGGTGTGGCTGCGTCAGTGTGTGGCTGGGTGGAAAGACACGCTATCTGCAGAAAAGCATGCCTAGGACCCAAGGGCTGTGAAGCTGGGCAGATCCTCCATAAATGGTCTGTGCTGAGGAGGAAGGCACAGCAAAATTCATGGTCTTGTTGCAACGGTTCCCAATGGCATGATGGAAGGGTGAGGGAAGGGGAGACGGGGTTCTGGGTGGGGGCAGAGAAGGAGATGGCTACACCACAGAAAACATGGAAATGGGATGGTAACTACCATAAATGGCTGACTCAGATAAGAAACCCACTTGAGAGCACACACTGATTCTGGCGTAAAGGAAACAATGATTTGTCTGAGGTGGTGCCATATAAATGCCACAGTCCTCACATACTGGCTGGGTACCAGATCTAACACAGGGCTTTAAGGCCATGGTATTGACTACATTCTGAGTGTGGTGCTTTGAAAGAAAATGCCACCAAATGGAGTGGCATTAGGAGATGTGGCCTTGTTGGTGGAAGTATATCACTGTGTGAGTGGGATTTGAGGTCTCATTTGCTCAAGTGTCCCTCAGTGTGACAGTCAGTCGGCTTCCTGTTACCTGCAATATGTAGGACTCTCAGCTCTAGCACTGAATCTGCCTGTACACTGCCATGCTCCCTATCATGATGATAATGGACTGAACCTCTGAAACTGTAAGCAGGCCACCCCAATTACAGGTTGTCCTTATAAGTGTTGCTTTGGTCATGGTGTCTCTTTACAGCAGTAAAAACCTTAACTAAACCACTGAAATAGCTTTGGTTTTTGCTCTGAAGGCCTCTAAACATCCACTGTACCCTCTCCCTGATGATAAGAAATACTTGTAGCCCTTGAACAACATGCCCTAATCCCCCATGCTTATTTATCTCTCTCTTTTTTAAATTTTAATATATGTATTTATTTTACATCTTGCCCACAGCTTCCCCTGCCTCCTCTCCTCCCACTTCTCCCCTCTCCTCTACTCCCTACCTCAATCTGCTCCCCTCCTTCAGTATTCATTCAGAAAGGGGCAGGCCTCCCATGGGCATCAGCAAAGCATGGCATATTAAGCTGCCCTAAGACCAAGCGCCTCCCCGTGTATTCAAGCTGGGCAAGGCAATCCAGCAGGAGAAATAGGTTCCCAAGAGCAGCCAAGGCACCAGGGACAGCCCCTGCTCCCATTACCAAAAGTACAACAACGAGACAAAGCTACACAACTGTCACATACATGCAGAGGGCTTAGGTTAGTCCCATGCAGTCTCCCTGGTTGTTGATTCAGACTCTGTGAGTTCCCATGAGCCAGGCTAGTAGCTGTGGGTTTTCCTGAGATGTTCCTGGACATCCCCCACCCTGTCCCTGAGCACACACTCCGCTTCTACAATCCCTCCTCCCTCTCTTTAACAGGACGCCCAGAGCTCGGCCCAATGTTTGGCCCTGGGTCTGTGAATTTGCCTCCATAAGTTCCTGGAGAAAGGCTCTCTGATGACAACCTGGGCTGGGGGAGTGGGGATCGGTAGTCACAAATCAGATCACAGGGCATGGCCAGCTCAGGCTATGTATCCACTGCTGCCAGGAGTCTTAGCTGGGGCCATGCTTGCAGACTCCCTAGGAGTTTTCCTTACATTAGGCTTCTGCCTGACCTCATAACACCCCCCATCCCAGTCATCTTTTACAGTACTCTCCCCCTCTATCCACCCCCAACCACCCCCAACCAGCCCACCCACCCCCAGTCCACCCAGATCTCTTCTATTTCCCTTCCCAGGGAGACCCATGAGCCCACCCCCCACCCCCAGAACTCTTCTTGTTACCTAGTCTTTCTGAGTCTGTGAATTGTAGCATGTTATCCTTTACTTCACAGCTAATATCCACTTATGAGTGAGTACATGCCATGTCTCTCTCTTAATCTTTCTTCTGAAGACCTTTTGACTGCTTCCCCGGGAACTGATGGCTTGCCTCTTGGCGGAATGGATGAAAAGTGCTGTCTCCCTGGCTGCCTCTCTGAGTTTTAGGATGTGAAGTTTCCTTCTGCCTGAGTGCATTTCCTAGCTCACTCTATCCTTTGGCTCATGATTCTTTTCTAGGCTTGATCAAGAGATCTCAGTGATTCATCCTTGTTCCAAATGCCCAAATCACAAGAATTACGACTGTTTTGTTTATTCAGTCAGATTGTGGTCAGTTCCTGCTGGGAGCTCAGTGCTGCTGTCTGACTAGTTTAAGCCTCACTAGACTGAGCAAGGGCACTGTCCTTCAGTGTGTACCTGAGACAGCGTTCCGAAGGCATTTTTCAGCTGGGTCCTCAGAGTCAGGTTTAGAAGTTTCCAGAAGAATCCGCAAGCATTCCAGCTGCATTAAAAAGGACAAAGAAGAAAACTAAAGTGAGACAAATGCAAAGAACATTCTAGGAGTTCACGACACTGATGCTTCAAATCACAAAGGAGAGGTTTGGAGAACATGAATGCTGGCGTTCATCATCCCCTCCACCATGTTCCTTTAACATGCTCTTGATGTTTTTAAACGTTCAGACTTTTTACATTATTAGAGATGCAAGCAGAGGAAGTGAGCTATGTTTGAAACCTGATAATGCCTGATTAAAGATTAAAACAAAAAAACACCAAATGACCATCGGAAACAATTAAGATTTTATGAAATACAACTACAGTGATCTGAACGACAGATACCTGTCCGTGGAAATACAGGTTTCCTTCCAAACATGATTAGTGAAATCAAGTTGAAACCAAGTACCTGTTGGGTAAATATACACAGAAAGAAACTTCTCTGCTCAAGGAGATAGATTCTGAAAACTCATCGAAAAATCAGCACACGGAGAGGATGGAAGTGAGGAGGGGATGGAAATGTCTCTCATGGTAGCTTCACGGTTAGCATACGAGAGCAGATGTACTTGTCAGGCTTGGCGCTCCTTGGCTGTGCACAACTCTCAACAGTCCTTACTGCCCACCCTTGCCTTTGTATTTACTCAGTGATGTAACTCTAAGCAGAAAAATAAATTATTTGAAGAGTCTGGGACCTGGTCCATGACTGCAGTTTACAGCACTCACTCGAGAGTCTAGCTCACATTCTGTAATGCACCCAAGTGACAACATTAATTATAATCTGAATAAGCTAAATAGGCTTCCTTCTGTCTCAATTTCATTTCGAAAAGCAGCCATAATAGGGTAAAAGGAATGCATATGAAAGGGATGTATTAAACTGTGCCTGTTTCTTCTGGCTTTATAATAAAATATTTGTAATCTGACTAAAATACAGCATTCATCATATTATAAAGAAACCTGCAATTGGTTTGAAGTGCTTAATGTGACACATTGTTTAAGTAGTCCATTACTGAATATTGAGCTGTTCCTAGCATTTATGTCACACAGCTCACCTTTTAGTTCTTTTTTTTTCTTTTAATTGTTAGAAAACTTGTTTCTAATGTAAGTTCTGACAAGGATTAAGGCAAGCATCACTCTCACTTGCTCCTTCAGGGGTGAGCAGCACAGGCGGCCAGAAGAATTCTAGACACATTGTCTAATCAGCTGGGAGACCTGCTTAGCAACTATTCCTGCTACAGCTCCCCTCAGAATGTGGGCTGTAAGTTCTATGGTATGATATCAAATGTAAACATAGGTTACCACTTGAGCTTTGAAACGGGGAAGAGTATCTACTACAGATGAGAAAAAAAAAACCTTACTCTTTTGAAAAATCCTGTTTTTTAAAATACTTCTGGTGGAGAAAATAATTTTTAGAGGTTACAGTAACTCACCATCAAAAAATATATCTAACTTTATACGTTTCAAACAGTAATGGAAAAAAATCATAAAATGAATTCAATTCCCTGCTAGAGACATTTACTGTTTGTAAGTCAACACAGTAAATTAGTTCTCCAAAACTATGTAATTATGATCTCCTATATCTTACATAATTTAAATAGATGAACAAAACTTTTAAACGTGAGTCAAAATGGGTTAAAGATGTATCATGACAGAAAACATTTTCTCGGTATTTCCAATTAATATAATTTTTTTACTTGATATACATGTAATATATTGGTATAAAATAGGATTTACAGGCACATACATTTGTTTTATGAACAGTTTCACAGACAGATAGGATGGTGTGCCAGAAGTGACATGTCCACAGCTTCTTTCTGCTTTTCCCATGCTTCCAACCTGGATTCCTTCCTATCTATGGCTCTTAACTTCCCCATGACCTGCAGAGACCTTGATCAATCTCGTGTCTCCTTCTTTAGAACTGGCCAGCTTGGTGGAATATCAGGAAGGAGAGCCATATAAAAACAGGGAGCTGTTGTTCCTCGGATACCCAGTTCTCCGTAATTACTTGCCACATACACTAAGGCACAGCAGCACAACCTTTGGTGTGATGTTTAGTTGGAAGCACAAGAATAGGCTCCCCTTGTTTGAACTGAGAGCTGTCACTTTGGAGGGCTCTTAACTGTGGCCATCTGTCACTTTGTGAGGCCTCAGTGATGGGGATGTCCTTCTGTATGTATGGGTCTCTTATTGATTGATGAATAAAACAGTTTGGCCAATAGAGGCAGGAAGATAGGTGAGGCTAGAAGATGAGGAGAATATTGGGGAGAGAGGCTAGAAAGAGACAACATGTAGGCTCCAAAGAAGTAAACGGGTCCGGGCACTCTCAGGTAAGCCAAGACCACATGGAAATAGGTTTATGGAAATGGGTTAATAATTAAGACAGAGCTAGCCAATAAGAAGCCCCAGATATTGGCCAACAGTTTATAAATTAATATGTCTCTGTATTTGGGGCGGAAGGAGACCTGGCAGGAAAGAAACTCCAGCAACACCACAGGAATAAAGAAAGTGCTCTCCTGACCCTTCTCTAGTCAGGCTTCTCTGAGTTCTTTGCTCAGGTAGGTGCTTCCTTCACATCTGTCTCTTCAAGAGCTTTGCGATCAAGCACTGGACACATAAGAGTTTTTGATGAACAGAGGATTCACTGATGTCACAGTAATTCAAAGGAGAAAATATGCTCATAAAAAGTAGTCAAGAAAGTGTGTATTAAAATTCTGGTGTCCTTTAATCAGTTTCTCAGCTTGGCTTCCCTGGATTTCAGAAGGATAAAGTGAATTTTCCTCTGCAGTGCAGTTATTATACATGAGCAAGACAGTGAAATGTATCAGAATTTTCCACTGTAAGAATAGACATCATCAACACATGGATTATAGTGAGCTAAGAGTGGCTAAGAACCAGCAGCCACAGAACAAGCTCTAAAAATAGGGCCGGTGTTTTCCCTTTTTGAAGGAAATTTCCATTCAGAGACTGACTTGTCACCGGGTCTCAGTTAGCATTGATGTGCTAAGTTCCTTTATGACAATACAAATGTTGAGTTAGTCAGTGATCTTCTCACATGATGAGTGTGCTGATGAATTTTTACTTTTGTTTCACATTTTGCTAATGTAACTAATGTCAAATACTAATCGTTTCTTATTTCATCTTAATCCATAATAGTTTGAAAGGAGAAAAAAATCTGAGTGGAAGATCACAAATACACTTTTAACCACTGCCAAGTTACTTGTAATGATGTCAATGCTGGGAAAATAGCTCTTCTATTTTATTGTTTAAGGAATAATGGCAATAAAATATCTGTTCATGTAGACATACTTCTAAAACGTATTTTTAATCTGAGGTCACTAGAATCCATGGATGTCGAACCCACAGATAAGAGAGAACTGCCTACAACAACACAAGTAGGGAGAAGTGAAATCAGGTCTCCAATCCAGCATACTACACACCGAGCTCACATTTTCAACCACAGCTAGCAATAAAAATGGTGCAGTGTCCAGGACACAGTTACCCTAAGGTGTTGAAGAGCCTCAAGGCAGAAGAGTTAATAGTTATGGCTAGCCAATTTTTATGTCAGCTTCGCTCAGGCTAAAGTCACTTGGGAAGAAGGATCCTCAATTAAGAAAATGCTCATAACCAGATTGGCCTGTGTGCAAGTCTCTGAGCATTTTCCTCCTGGATCATTGATGTGGGAGGGCCCAGCTCATAGTGGGTGATGCCACCCCTGAGAAGGTGGTCCTGTGTGCCATAAGAAGGCGGGCTGAGTAAGTCACAAGAAGGAAGCCATGGGTAAACAGCATTCCTGTATGGTCTCTGTATCGGCTCCTACCTCAAGGTTCTAGCCTCCACTTCCTGCCCCGACGTCCCTGGATGATGGGATAAACCTTTTCCTCTCTAAGTTGATTTGGTCCTGGTGTTTTATCACAGCAATGGAAACCCCAACTAAGACACAAGACAGCATCATCTTATTACAGAAAAGGTTTCCTGCCATTTATGGTTCCTGAAGTTAATAAAGGAACATTTTCAACCACTACAAGGAAATCAGAACAAGCCTAAACGCTCTCAGTCCTGATCTATACAGGACAGGGATTATAGCCACCAGCTGTCTCCCAGGGAGCCCACACCAATTCATATGTGGAGCTTCTAACCTCTAATACCTCAGCGATTAGACTTTTAAGGATGTAATTAAAATGAAAGGTCACAAGTGGGCACTAATCCAATTGTGTCTGCACATACACACACAAAAACTTTGGGCACAATTGATTGTTCTGTAGCAATCTCCTGGAAGATTAAAAACTGTCTTAGAGGAAAGCTCCCTAAGACTCAGGATATTCTAGAGGGAGGGGAAACGTCTACCCTGTAGAGAAGCTCTTTATTTATTTTTATTTAAATTAGAAACAAGCTTGCTTGACATGTCAATCCCAACTCTCTCCCTCCCTTCCTCCCCTGCCTCCCCGACCAGTGCTCCCAACCCCCCACCCCATCCCCATTCTGCACCCCAGGGAGGGTGAGGCCTTCCATGGGGAATCTTCAAAGTCTGCCATATCATCCCGGGCAGGGTCTAGGACCTTCCCAATGTGTCCAGGCTGAAAGACCATCCCTCCATGTGGAATGGGTCTCCCAAAGTCCATTTGTACGCCAGGGATAAATACTGATCTACTACCAGAGGTCCCACAGATTGCCAAGGCCTCCTCACTGACACCCACATTCAGGGGGTCTGGATCAGTCCCATACTGGTCTCTCAATCACCAGTTTGGGGTCTCTTTAAACTCAACAAGTAAACAACAGAGTCCTAAAAGTCCCTAAAACTAAGCAGATTCCTGCAGGCTCCTCCCTCCCCAAGCAAAAAAAGCAGAGAGAATTTATGAGACACACTCACACCAGCCAAGCAGCCTGAAAGAAGCTCAGACAGACCGAGCCACCAAAAAAAGATCCTGCAGCCAGATGAGTCTCCTGACACTTGTGCAGTGTGCTCAGGTTTCCAGCTTTCATGAACTGTCTGTGCTGGGATGGGCTGGTAATACA